GCTTCAGCAACAACTTTGTTTTAAGGAATAGGTGTATTTAGATAAGAGTTTTGGTAAAAATCTTAAAAATGTAAAATCATCGTTTTGTGTAATTTGTGAAGATCATATGATAAAATTTTAGATGTGACAAATCGTGTAACTGGTAAGTGTGAATGATGTAATTCCTAAAAATATAAATACTGCTTCAATTGAAAAAAAAAAATCAAAAACACTGCTCAATTAAAAAAAAAATCAAAAATGCTGAGAAAAAACTATTATCTAAATCTACAAGAAAGAATCAACACATTACTCCATTTAGACATGATTGATACTAAAGAACTTAAATCTCTAATTGAAAAATTAACGAAGCAAAGGGAGGCTTTTACTGTATGTTAAGAAAGTTACATAAAAATGAAATTTCAAAAGCTAAACATGATTCGGAAATCTCTTTATACAAACCTCTTAAAAATAATGTTGAATCACTAATTGAAAAGCTCACTAAGCTAGATATAAATGAAGATAATCAAAAATTAAAAGAACAGAATAATCAACTTAACATGAAAATTAACAAATATCACAATATCATCCAAAAGACTTATGGGTTTTTCAATTTAGATAGAATAGGTAAACTAGAATTTGTACAATATAATTGAAATTGAAACTTATTCTAATACCAAATTTTATTTTTTTTGCAGATTTTGATAAACTTTCAGATTTAGTTATTGAACTTAACAATGTTTGCGAAGTCTAGTTTTATTTTTCAAATTATCACAGTTTATGTGGCATCAATATTCTTTTTCAAAATCAGCTGATCGATTTCTTGTAATTATGTTTCACATATAATCTTTAGTCATTGTAAAAAATTGTTTTTTTTGATATGTGTTGTGCTATAACTTCTTATGCAACATCAAATTTATGTGGTATAGTGCATAAGTAATACATTCAAATAATGGATTTAGATCAATTATAGCATTAAATAAATAGAAATACACAATATGGAACATACAATAAACTTTTAGATTTTTTAATATTCTGATAAAATATAATAGAAGATTTCTATACTTATTTACATAATCATCATTGTAGATGCTGTATTTATTAATTTTATCACCAGGTACTCCTATTGCACCCCTTGAATGTGTGCCAGGCGTATTCTGCATGATCGATTGATTATATTAATTTTGATCACTGGGGCTTAGGCCAACTGCGTCACCAACCTGGCACATATTCAAGACATGCACTCCTATTTCAGTATTTAATATTTGATCAGAATTTTAAAACAGATAATAGGGGTTTTTTAAGTTACTGTAGTTAATTCTGAAACTCAATCCTAGGTCTTTATTTGTAACATTTTAAATCCACCTAAAATCATGCTCATTGATATGCGATGCTTTGATCATTTAAGATTTGAAAATTTTTATAATTTCTATAGATGATTTCTTAATAACTACTTGATCAAATTCAGTAAATTTTAGTTTATTTTAATTCTATACACTTGGAGAATTAAAATAAAAAAAAGTTTGTTGAATTTGGTTTAATGATTGTCGAGAAATTTTCAGTAAAAGTTTAAAAAAATCCTCAAATATCAGGAAAAAAGCTAAAATCGGGTAAATCTTTTCTTTTTTAAACTTGAAGATATCTTGACACTCATCTATCCAAATTCGATGAAGTTTTTTTTATTTTAATTCTATGAATTTATAGAATTAAAATAAAATAAAAAATTTTGATCGAGTTTGATCAGGTAAGCGTCAAGTAATCATTAATCACTAAGTATCTATAAAATAAAAACTGAGGCAAATTGCTTTCTTAACTTTAATGAATATTTCTTGATAACTATACATATAAATTCGGTAAATTTTTTTATTTTAATTATATAGATTCATAGGATTAAAATAAAAAAAAATCCATTGAATTTGGATAGATAGGTGTCAAGAAATCTTCGATCAAAGTTTAAGAGAAAAATTTAACCGATTTTAGTATTTTCTAGATATTCAAGAATTTTTTTGAACTTTTACTGAAGATTTCTTGACATCTATTAAACCAAATTCAATAAACTTTTTTATTTTAATTCTATAAATATGTAGAATTTTAATTCTATAAATATATAGAATTAAAAACTTTATCGAATTTGATCAAGTAATTACTAAGAAATCATCGCTAGAAATTATAAAAAATTTCAAAATCAATGCAAATAAAGTTAAATAAAGTTATGATCTGATTGGTTATGTTTAAGTAGATACTCAACAAACTAGACACAGATTCAAAAATTGCCCCAAGGCGGGTTGAGCTCATACTAGAGACCTCAGTTTTATGCGATGCGATGCCAATTTTTAGCATCGCGAAGCATAATTTGACCCAGAATTGCATAATAGTAAATGGTGCCTGTGATTGGCCAATTTTTAACCAATCGATCAGTTTTTGTATTTTCTGTCCTTTCCTTTTTGCTATTTCTTTTTATGAGCACAGAATTTTTTTATATAAACCGTTCCGACATATTTCAAACAAGTTCTGAAAGAAATTGATCAATAATGACACAAAAAAATCGCATAATTCTGGGAACGTAAAGCATTAGCCGCATAATTTGGTCCAATCGTATCACATAATGCTAAGGTCCCTGGCTCATACAGGGTTGGGATGCATCTGAACCCTAGTCGGATGGGTCAGAATTGATTAATTTTACCCAAGATCACTAAGAATTTTACTAATGAAACATTAAGTAAAAAATGCCCAGCTGATAATTTTAATATAGTTCCTGTTAACCTGTATAGCTAACCCAGACCCTAACTACGATACATTCTGGCCATTCCGACCCAGAAATTTAGGGATCCTCTTGTAAAAAATAGATAATAGATGGGTTGATATAACTGATTTATTAACCCATCTTTATTTTTTTGAGCTTAAGTTTGGTTCGATTGGCCCGATGATCACAGGACTGTCATATTTTTGCGCCATCACTATGTTATCCAGAAATGTATACGCATGCAAAATATGCATAAATACACATTTTTTTTCACCTACATAAACTTTCAAGAAGCATATGAAATGTGAGTCTAGTCCTAATTTTGTACTCGGAACCGAACTTTAACAAAGGTTCGACTTTTGGATTCGAGTCGAACCGGACTGAACTTTTAACATCCCTACTAGCGACCTCAGTATAAAGAGGTTAATTATGTGATGCGATTAGGCCAAATTATGCAGCTAATGCTTTACGTTCCCAGAATTATGCGAGACTATTATAAATTATACAATTTTTTTTCGTACTATTAACCACGTGATAAATTATTTACTATTATGCGATTTTTGGTCAAATTATGCCAAATTGGCCAATCAGAGAACACAAATTTTGGGTATTCCTGATAGAATCCAAACAAGAAGAGAAAAAGAAAAGAAAACGAAATACTCAAAAACTAATGTTTAAACGACTTTTGTGACTAATAAAAGAAATTTTACATATAAGAAATGTCCTGACCCCATTTTTATTTGATTCCTTTTTTGGATTGTGTTGCCCGCGCAAATACTGAAATAAGCTAATCCCCACCTGCAGATAGTCCATGAACAGCAGAGACACGAAAATTGTGATTTAGTGTAATTAAACCAAATCGCACTAAATCGTATAATTTTACATCATATTTATATTCTCTGATTAAAAATAGCGTATTAATTTATTCTCCGATTAAAAAATTGCATATTAATTTGCTAGTTGAGCGCAGTATTTTAAAAATTAAAGTTTTTTTACAAGTAAAATTTGAAAAAACACTAAATCGCACTTTTAAATTTTAATCATCAGCAAATCGCATATATTACACATACTGCACACATAATTTACTAATACTTATCACATAAATTCATAAACAATGTCCAACGAGGCCCCTAAAAAAGGTGGTATTAAACCGGACATTTTTTGGGCCACATGAC